CTAATCAATATACTGTGTTTGAAAGGCGTGCTTCTGTGAAGCAGATCAATCACAGCTGTTTAGCTCTGCGTGCTCGCAACATGTAGTTACATTTCAGGTAAAGTGCACTCCAGGCTACACTGTAAGTTACAGCTATACTGTGGCTTAAACGTTGTGTCATCAAAACATACACGCATGCAAAAAAAGAAAATAAAAGCTATCATGCATGATGTCTCAGCTGGTAAAGACGAACAGGGGGAAAAGGGAAAGTGCATAGAATCACTTTAAATAGTGTTGAAAACACTCAGAAGACATGCACAGAAGAGAACACTGATGGATGGCAGAGGCCATGAGATGAAGAATGGAAACAAACTTTGTAATTAACTCAACACATAGTGCTGACATGCAGAGGGCCAGACATACTGACAAGTTAAAAAAAAATGAAGAAGAAAAAACAAGGTGCTGGGGAGGGAGAGACATGACTGGAGGATGGATAGAAGTAGGTCAGAAAGAGAGACTGAGAAGAGAGAGAGAAGAAGTGAAAGGGAAATGAAGAGAAAGTGACAGCCAAAGTTCAGATGTGTCTTTCATACCTTACTATCTTAGCGGTCTGTGTGTGCATATGTTTCCTTTTGGTGTGTGTGTGTGTGTGTGTGTGCACAGCCACATGTTCAGTGTGTGTGTGTGTGTATGTCATTGTGATTGACAGCTCCCAGCCAGCAGCTTGCTCCAAAGCCAAAGACTTCATAAGAAACAGAACATGGTTTAATTTACTCCTCCAGGCAGAGTGGTGGTGCTCACTTTGCAGTCTGCTAGTACAACACACTGCATAAAATATCTTTCTCAGTAAGTTATTTGATATTGAATTCAGATTCAACGTTGAATCGCTGTTAAAACATGAAATATCAACATTGATTTTTATATGTAAAACAGAATACACAAGAGATCCTTGATGTTATCTGACCTGTATACTTACGACAGAAGAAATTGATGTTTGTGTTCAAGCTCCAACAGCACTACCAATGCGTTTGCGTCTAAATGCTATGTTAGCCTCCATTTTTATCACAGAGTGATGACATAGTAGATAATGATGGTGCTACCGTCTAGGGCTGGGCGATATGACCCAAAATTCATATCTCGATATTTTTTAGCTGGATGGCAATATAAGATATATATCTCAATATTTTTTTAAAAGCCATAAGGAAAGAACAAAAAGAGAGTTCTTAGTCAAAGCTGTGTCCCAGATGTCACACGGGCACTTTTATTAACATACAGCATAGATGTACACGAAAAAAACTACTCAAAAATAAATGATGAGCATTTATTAAATAATAATGCTCCATAAATAAAAGAAAACAATGTTGTTTTTGTGTATAACAAAGAGCTCACAATTGTGCAGTCAAAATGTAAACTAAAAGACGCAGAGCATAGTAACAAAGACAGATTTCACAGCTGCTCTCTTTCCAAGTTCGTGACTGACAGCCTGGAGTTTGAAATCCGCTTCATAACCGTGT